AATTGTGTTGTGAGTTTTTTTTTCCATTATGATTTTCACTAGATTACTAGATTCACAACACAATTTGTTAAAATATATATTTTAACAAATTGTGTTGTGAATCTTGTAATCTAGTGAAAATCATAATGAAAATGAAAAAAAACTACATATGTGCATGCGCAAATCAAATAAGATCGAATGCCAAACTTCTAACGTAAGAGCCATTACACACGACTGCTCAATTTCAGCACTCTTTGCAACATTTATGGTTTCCATCATTTGACATTGATGATGAGAGAATATTTAAAAACCAGAAGTGGGATGCTTCACAAAATCTGCTGAAATTAACATACCATTGTTGCTAATGTCAGAGCACTTAATCAGCGGAACGCACATGCAGTGGGCGCTGAATGCTTTTGGTGCTGTTAATTATTCTGTTTATAAGCTATAATAGAGCATAATTTTGTTTTGTGCAGGTGTGGCAGCCCTTAAAACTAGCCCAAAATGCCATGTGCCATTACAAGCATATCTATTTTGTCTCATCAGAAGAGATATGGTGTCTGATGCAATTACAAACACATAATTAGATATCCTAACATGATGGATTTCACAGCTTGCATTGAGACCCGTGCTGACTAATGTGAGCAGAGACAGACAATTCCTCTTCATTAATTTTTTTTTTTACCTTTGTCCTTACAACCCTAACCCCGGAGAAAGATTTCATTGTGACCTCTTACCGCTATTTGTATCCTCCTCATTACACTATAACGTCTTCATCGGGTTCTGATGGCACAACACCGATGCATTGCTTTAGTGCTGCCAAGGATGGAGGACGGACAAGGATGGAGAATGTCCCTGAAGCAGGTGGAGCATTGGCAGAAACACCTTCTCTGAGCATATAAGCAATTAGTTGTGTGAATCAGTCAGGACTCAACAAATACTCAAGTGCTAAACAACACTAGGCACTTGTCCAGAGCCAGATTTCCTAGTTTGCCTGGTAATTGAAGTGAAACGTAGTTCAAACTTGAGTTATATTAATTCTGTAAGAAAATTTTCTGTAGCTCACACAGTCAAAGTTAAGGTCATATGTTCAATTCCCAAGGAATGTATGAACAGATATAGGCATGAGTTTCTCAGTTGAATAGAAAGCCAGGAATTTAAAAGGCATTCTCAATTATAGATAAAAACCTAAATGTATATCTTTTTACTTTTAATTGAATCTAACATTTTAATTGAATTTAAGGTAAGCATTACTGTAATTCCAGAAATATAAAAAATAATCAGTCATGAATAATCAACCATAAAACAGAGACATGGGCATTATAAAAGAGCTATTGTCTACTACTGTTCTCTTTCCTGCACATGGAGATGAATTCAGACAGACCCAAATGCGATTCCTTTGTGCCCAGAAAAAAAAAAAAAAAAAAAAAAAAAACATTTACTAAGTTTGTTCCTGAGATGGCCACAATACAGATTTTTTTTTGTGCTGGGAAAAACTATTTACATATTGATTACAATTTAAATCTAAGCAACTGCCACAACAAGTGCAGACCGTCCCATCTCTCAACTGTCTTGTCTCTGCTCACAAATATTTATTTGTGGTTTCTCTCTGCCAGATGGTTCACTCCACTGCTTTTCTAAATATGCATTTACCTGTCTCTTTTATTTTCCCTTTTCTTTTCACCAACATTGTGGGAATGTAAAGAAACATGCTCTTCTTTTTTTCTGATGGATTGTTTTTTAAATTGTTTACTTTCTCACAATATACACTAGGTTAAGGTCAGTGTTTCCATTATAAAACCTGAAAGCTTTACAATCGGCTAGTATCGGCTATCCAAAGCCTGATCCTTTATTTCCCGCCTCAAGGTTGGGTATAGGCAATTTTCAGAGGCTAGCAATAGAAAACTAGCCTTGAAAGCATGAGATCCCACCCTCCCTTCAGAAAGCGCTACAAAGCCACACCTCCTTCAAAACACATGAACGAGTACAGTAATGAGGAAACGTAGTTAGACTCAACGCATTCTCACCCCAAGGCGTCACCTTTGACCATGCTTCAATATTTGACGTTTTAGGCGCCCTTTAGCGTCACTTACATGACGCGATCCTACGGCGTCATCTAACTGACGCTAAAGGAAAGCGTCTGTTAGAGGACGCGGTTAGGTTTAGGTGTGGGGTGGGGGAAGGGTACACGCGATCCTAGGGCATCATCTAACTGACGCTAAAGGGCGCCTAAAGCGTCAGATATTGAAGCATGTCCAAATGCTTCCCAAGGCGTCAGTTAAGTGACGCCTTGGGGGTGAGAATGGGCTGTTAGACTACCTCATGACTCAAAGCACATAACATTACTATAATAATAAACGCTACTGAAAGAGCACTTAAATGTACCACCTGCCTGCTTCAGATAATTTCGCTGTTGATAGTGTTGCCATTGAAAAGGATAAATCACGAGTATAATGTCACAGGTTTCCATCTCTTCTAATGACAGAAGTTATGGAGTGAACGCAGCATGAGCTCGTTGTTTTGCTTCAGGAAGAACTATGTTTCAGTTGCGGTGCTCGGACAGAATGCAGTGATTGGATAAACATTTTATGGTCGAGTGTTTTTCTTCACGTGAAAATTCTTGGCATCGCTGGACATAGATAAATTTAAATTAAACTTTTAAGAAATATGCTAAACATACGTTTAGTGAAGTTTTAGTGTATTTACAGAAAACATACTTATGTTACTTTTACTTAAAGTATATTTTATAAGTACTTTGTAAAAGAGCATAGCAAAATGATTAAAGGTGCAGTGTGTATTTTTTTAGCGACATCTAGCGGTTCGGTTGCCAGTTGCACAACGGGCTCAGCCCACTGCTCACCCCTCCCTTTCGAAGAAGCTACGGTGGCTAAAACGGGACAAACATATCATCGTCGGAGACACCAGAGAATAGCCAGAGTAAGCCAAGTTTCTGTACCACAGTCCATTATAAACCACATCATAGATAAGGTTTACGAAGCCATAGTCAGGTGAGGATCAAGGGTCTTGATTGCGGTAGTTGATTGCGATTTCACTTTTTTAATTTTAAATAGTGTGTAATGTTGGTGAGAACCAAGAGACAAGAAACAATGAAACCAGGGAGAATGCTCAGAAATGCAGCGCAACAACACACAAATCTTCGCAGTGAGTGATAGGGTGAACCAGGCTTATATGAGGTGAGCTAAACAAGATAATGAGATACATGAAAAAAAATGAAAAGTCCGGGCAGTGAGTTATGGGAAATGTAGTTTGTGAGGGAATGACAATAGTCTGATGTGGAGTGCCCTCTGGTGGCTCTCAAGGGCACTCCAGATGATGACCGTCACAATTACATAGGCTATATTTTATACAACTGTTACACATGGACTACTGAACAGACATTTAGTAGGCCCTGTCTGTCAATTTTACAGAGACTTAATATTCAATGACTCAGAACAGATTGGGAGGACAAAAAATCATTCCCAATTCCCATTCCCCAAAAAAAATCATCTCTAATGGAAACAAATAAATAAAAACTAAAACAGAATTTTAACTGCGGATTTAAATAGTGATATTATATTATAATACATTTGACAAAACCACATAAAATCACGAACTCAAATGAAAACTGAAAATCTAAAAAAAAATGCATAATCATATAAATAATACTAATATTGTACGGATCCTTGTTTAAACACAACAAAAATAATAGCTATAGTAAATGTTGCATCTACGTTTGTCTGTGTAGATGTTAGTGCACTGATGTGCAGCTTAGACACGGAAGAACACTTTTTTCCCATTTTTTCTCAGGCCCATAATGTGGCTTTAGAAGTGCCCAGGGGGTCATCAGCACTCATTTATCTGACTTATGGTGGTTTCCTCACAGGAGAAAGCTACAAGAACGCGGTTAAAGTGGGCCATTTGTATGTGCCAGACAGCGAGTTCATGCAGCCTAGTTCTTTTCACTGCGCTCAGTGGTCTGTGGCAGAGCCCTCTGGGAGCTATGTGTGGCTGCAGTGTATAGCTGACACTTGCTGAAACCCCTGATAAACGACTGAGTGTGGAATCAAACCCAAACCTGACGTATTACATGGGGTGGGTTGATGAATACAGGTGCTGGGCACAGTCTCTCACCCTGAAAGTTTGTGCTATCAAAAGATCTTCTGAGATTTTTCAAGTTGGCAAAGGCTTTGAACTACTTCTAATGTGTTTTCTCTAAATGGGGTCTGCAACAACGTAGGAGTGTAAATATTGTCTATCTGCAGACCAACCATTGACATCTGTCAATCTGTCATTCTGCTAAGCGTAGGAAGTCACAGTACTACTTTTATGAAGCGAAATACTTAATATGTTAATTCTTTCACAAAAAAATATTGCTTGTTTGGTAATTGTCACCTCAATTATGCAGAGGTAGTATTTGTTTGTGCTAAAGTGTAACAAAAGCAAGTATACTTTAGGTACACTTTAAATATATTGCAATTAAAGACTGATATTATACAGAGATCATACAATCCTTATTAATAATGATATTAAAACACATTTTAGGCTTAATATTAAGAAATGTGCATTTTGCAATAAAAAATAATAATCCACATAAAGTTAAATTATGGGTTAACGCACAAAGTGCTGAAACCCTATTGTTATTGTTAATTTTCCCATGATGCAGTATTCTCCATAACTGATCGGGCAGAACGGACATAAGTCGTGGATACTTGAAACTTTGGGGACTGGAAGTACTCACACCAAACTCACACTCACACGTACGTTTGCAGTGAACACGCAAAACGGAGGGCCAAGCGGTAGGGGCAAGGGGTGAATTGGGATTAAGCCTTACTGACTGTGAAAAACATGAACTGTTGTAATAAGTAGTTATGCCTTCTTTCTTCGCTATATTTTCTGAAGTACGTGCATTGTTAGACATCATCATCAACTTTTAACTATAAATGTTCATCTGTCTATAAAATAAAGAACACAACCAAACAACGAAAAAAAAGCTTGTAATTAAGACCGTAACATTGACTTACCTGTCAAGAAAAAAAGCAGGCAACTTCAGCGTCTCTTTTGAAATCTTTCTCCTGCATTAGATCTATCCACCTGTGGCTCCAGAGAAGTATATGGATCTTCTCATTCAGCACTGTGGGAAAAATAGCATTTGGTAGCCTTAGAAAACCAGTAAAATCTTCATTTTGTTTCATATTAATTTGTGAATGTTTTAAATGTTTAATTAAGGGACAAAAGGTCATAAACAAAAATACGTCAATAGTCCTACTTTTTGGTGTTCAACTTTACTTTGTTCGTTTTTCGTTTTGCAAAATTACGGACCAAAAGGAGGAAAAAACGAACGGACAAAAAAAGTAAAAACTATTATTTGATGAAAACAATACATTTGTAAAACAAAATACAGCCATTTCTGCTTTTTTTCTTTTAAACAAAAAACCAAGCTGCACCCTTTTTTTTTTTTTTTTTAAATATCACCTTTCATTCCGAAATAGAATAACGAATGAACGAAAAAGTACACAGACCAAGTAGGCCTACACTGACCATTTGGACTGAATATGAGACATAGTTCTTTATTAAATTCATAAAAAAAGAAACAATAATTACAGGAATCGGCTACTGGATTCTAAACCTCAAAGAAATGCCACAATCAAGACCTTGGAGCAGAAATGAGGGAGGAACACCCAGAAAACTCCAATATGTGCCATTTGCAGTTTAAGGGTCTTTCCCTGCCATTCATGCTTGGATAACACGCCATGTCTTCCATTAATGATAATAATGTGTAGTGGGGTGGCTGTGATATAGACTATAAACCTACCAACGTCCGTTGCCATGATTTTTGGAATGACTTATCGCGAGAGGGAAAAAAGGATTCTTTAGTCGCATAACATCGGTTAATGGAAACGCTGTCATTTCGCAATTGTTTTTTTATCGACATTTAGAAGAAAAAAAACCTGCAAAGGTTTTGCGCAAATCTGTAATGAAAACGCACCTACGGACAAGAAAGCAGCACACGGTGCATTTCTCCAGATTATAGATTATAGATTCCTCTCTGTTATACTTGAAAGCCTAACTAAGCCTTACTATATTCCTGACCAACTTCCATGGTTACAGTTAAGGTTACTACAGTAAACCCATGGTGAATGTTGCTGATCTGTGGACACTGGATAGTTCATTCAAGGCGCAATGTTTCTTTCTGGTTTCCACGTTAGTGCTGTTTGATCCATTAATAACGGAGACATGTGAATGCTTCTCATCACATTTTTCACTGTACTTTTTAATAGGTGCATGTTTGTCCTCCAAAGGATACAATAAACTTTCAAATGCTGACAATGCATTATCAGGATAAACTTCCTTATAAACATCAATCCAACATATATTATTTACGTTTGTAGGAAGTGATTCATGACTTAATCTCTTATGATCTTTCATAAATTACTTTTGGTTTCCTAAGTGTTTACATGCTTGCTGAATAAAACTTATTGTCTTTAAATTCCTTTGTGCTTAAAGGCCTTATTTGCTTGCCCCCGATAAATGCTGCTTGCAGCTTTAATTATAAGTCTTAAACGATAGGTCAATAAATATGCTAATGGATTTGTATACTAGTATGAAATATATATATATATATATATATATATATATATATATATATTGTGTGTGTGTGTGTGTGTGTGTGCATATTTTTATTATTATTATTATTATTATCTACATAGCTATTATTATACTCTACATAGCTTCAAATGAATGACTGTGTTGCATCATGTCCCATCAAGATGATTTTATCATTGACATAAAAAGTTATTAGACATTATACAGGTCTAAAAATATAATTTCCTACATACTGTACATGTTTAAACATACAATAAAAAATCTATTTTCTTCACTATTTCTAGGGCACTAACCAAAAAAAAATTGTTACATTGATCATGTGACTGCTGACAGACAGATTTTATTTTTCTTGTACCTAAGGTGCTCTTTGATTCAGTCCCAATTATAAATACACACTTTGTATGTATGCATGTATGCATCCATGGATGGATGGATGGTACATAAATTATAGAAAGGACAAAGTGTAAGTTGTAATCATTAGACAAGAAGCTAAAATAAGGATCTACATTTATAATTACTTGCCTGCTCTGTGCACACAACATGGTGACAAAAGCTGAAAAATAGCATTGCTGAAAATGGCTGTGAAAAATATATGAGAAGCAATTTAAGAATAATACTTGTAATGAAGCGGTCTTTGACTTTAGACAGCATTTGACTGCAACGTGAACAATGCATGCTGGGAATCTCATAAAAATGTAAAAGATTGTAAGGGCATTTTAAGAAAAATTTGTCATGAACTGCAAAACGAAATAGAGGGGCATTCTCTGATACAAACGCAAAAGGTCACTAGAGACAGTGAATAATGTCATATAGACACAAATAAAGATATTAAAAAAGTACAGTGTTTTTGCTCAAGTTGATAAAATATCAACACAGCCAGTCTACAGAATCTTCTTAAAAATCCTCATACAACATATATCACATCAATGCCCAGATAATTGAGTAAATACAGTAAACAAAGAAAAGCAATCTGATGTTTACAGATACTTTCATGCTTTCCATTCACATTAAAAATAGATGAGATAGTACACGAGTCTCCACTCCCAGAACCCCTTTTCTGTTCCACCTTGGTTGCAGTAAGCTGCTACAGTATAAAAGAATGATTTCTTGGCATTCTATGAGAAACTAAATAAACACATCAGTGGTTCAGCTTTTGTACCACATGTGAGATTGATTGCTCCGGACCTTGAGTCAGCATGACATCACACAAACAGTAGAACCAGACAGTGGAACATCAGTTTCACTGATGGAGATTTTGCATAGTCCATAACCTGCATCAGCATTAACCACGGCACCACAGCAATGCCCACAGGATCAGGACTAAGCAAAACAAACCTTGAAAGAGAGCATAGGAAATCTTCGACCTAAAATAAGGACACGCTTGCTCAACTATGAAATCAAGCTGTTGTAGGGAAATCTTCAACTGTACTGAGATACAGCAGAGCTCATTTCAAAATGTTCCTGGCGTGGAATGCATCTGTTAGTCTTGGGTGAATTCTAGCGATGGAAACAGTGCTTTATTTATGATGCTTTACATAAGACATGTATGCCTTAAAAGGTAGGGTAGGTAGTTTTTGTCTAAAAAAAAAACAAAACTTTTTTCCAAAATTCGTTTAAACTGTCTTTATATATCAATGGATAATTCAAATGTAAGTACTCTGATTAAATTCAGTAATAAAATGCAATAAACACAGCTCATTATTGCATTTACTCAAACCTGGGCTCCTTCAAAGCCATGCCACCAAAACATTTGAAAGCGCGATGCCGACCGCAGCTCAAGCCTAGTTCACACTACATGATTTTAAGCTCGATTTAAGCCCAGTTTGCAAATCGTTGAGCTTGCCGACAGGTCAGGGTGTTATCGCGTACAAATTGTGGAGGATTAGCTGGGGATGAACGCTCGCCAATTTGTTAGTATGAAAGAGCCAACAATGCATCAAAGATGCTCGCAGACGCTTCGCCGAGCCCAGCATGCTAGATGAGCTTTTGCACAACTGATGTTGACACGTGACGTCATGAGCTACAGCAAATCAGAGCTGGGGTGGGTTGAGATCAGTATTCTTCACTGGGTATTGACGCGCATGCTGTTTCGCGTAATTTCTGGTTCATTTTATTGAGTGATTTTTCGTGACAAAACGTGGTTTGTAGACAAGATGGAATCGTTGGGTGACAGAGTTGTTGTCAAATTGCCATATCATATCAATATATTATTTTCATATCCAGTCAACGCAGCCGATGCATTTTTGTAAGAAAAATCTCCATATTTATAACTTTATAAACTATAATCAATGGCTTCCGGTAATGACCGTACTTGAGTCTAGTTGCAGCAGAAGACTGACCTCTGAAAGGTACAAAGATAAAGATATTAATAGGGTTGGTGGCATATTAATATTATATTAGTTAATGAAATATGTTTTATTTTTCTCTGTAAATTTAAGTTAAATGGGTAAAACCCAAAATGTTGCTACCATATTTTTATGGTAAATTTCTGGCAACCACAGCTGGCAGATTTTTTATTTAATTTTTTTTTTTAAGTGTAAATCATTGTCTTTTCTGTAAACTGAAATGGCATCAGCTGTTTTGTACTGAATAATGTCAGATCAATCAGTATATGAATGAGGCAAATGACACAAAGCGGTCAGTTTTTATCTGGATGTGAAGGAATGAGCGCAGACACAATTCCAGGCTAATAGCACAAAATTGCCCAGTAATGAGTCATGCCACCAGTTTCTGTTCATGCCAGGTACTCAAAAGACTTTTTTTCTTTATAATTGTCACTGTGCTCAAGGGAAACGTACTGTACTTCCACACCTGATAGGTCTAACTCTCATCTTAATGCTTGTATGCACATTGAGGCTTGCCAAACCTCACCACTTGTTTGGATACACAACAAAGCCGTAGTGGGGTGCACTGCCAAATCTGCTGCTGAAAGGGTAGAAACACCAGGCTTACGATCCGCCCAGCCAAATAAGCGATCTGCTTACATAGACATGAAACAATACAGCTGCTTTATTTGCGTGCATTTCAGAACACATGCATTATGCATTAGAAAACATGCATAATTTAGGAGAACAAGCAGAGGATATGTCTGGTGCTCAGCCAAATCTGCTACCTTCTTATGGAGTGACACAAAACAAATTCCATCTTGTGGAGGCAGATGGTGGACAAGGTGACAGGATGCCTCTTATCCAAATTGCAAGCACTTGAGTGAATGTTGTCATGGGAACCTGGGCGAAAGACCATTTTTTGATATCCCTTGAGCTCATTCCTGGCAAAGAGGCCATAGGTGATCTAGTGGTGAGGCTGTGGAGGTGCGCAGAGGTTGACAAGTGCAAAATCGTCTGCCATTATTTAACTGATTTTGTTTTTTGATTGATTGAGCGTATGACGATGAAAACTGACTTTTCACTATGTGGTGATCCATGATCTGCCGTTATTTTAATAATTTTCTACAGCAGATCAATGAGATAATTTATTTCTTTATCAGCTTTGTCTGTTTCTTGTAACGTTGATTTTGTTTGATTGATG